GGGGGGGGGGGGGGATTACAAAAAATGAAAAGGTGAGTGCTTAAAGGGCACTTCAGATGTGGAAAAGTAGGGTGCCATGTCTTTACACTCAACGTGTAATTGCTTTTGACATGTTACCCTCTGGGATATACAGCAGTCAGATTGTGTGACTCAGTGCATCACGGTACACTGTACAGTATTCACAGTGCCTACTGTGTTGCAATAGATTGAAACATTGCAGTATTAATGAGGTAATAGAAAGCCTCTCTTGTTTGTTATCCTACCTCACTGCCTTGCAACACAGAGCCTCTGGTGTGGACATTGATGTCACTGAGAGGAGGAGATCTCTCTCTTTCTCCGATGCTACTCATGCTGCTTTTTAGTCTTTCTTTTAATGTGCCTTAAGCTGCATCATTTTCTCTCTCTCTCTGTATATTATTCCATCTGGTGTATTCCCCCCCCCCCAAAAAAAAGCTTTCGACCACCTCCATCTCTGCACAGGAGCTTGGGAACTTTTGTTCAACATGCAACAAAAGGGAACGTTCTTCTTGAGATTCATAACTCGCACTTGTACATTAAATAGTGCACACATGGTTTGATTTAACAGGAGAGACTAGGTCCATCATCAGTGGCACAGCACAGTTACCGACAAAACACGGTTAATCGATACCGATACAACGCGACCATCTATTGCACTTCTGTGCATCCTGGGAGAGGGATCCCTCCTCTGTTGCTCTCCCACAGGTATCTCCCTCTTTTCTCCCCGTTAAAGGGGTTTTTTGGGGGAGTTTTTCCTGTTCCGATGTGAGGGTTCCGGGACAAGAGGATGTCCCATGTGTACAGATTGTAAAGCCCTCTGAGACAAATTTGTAATTTGTGATTTTGGGCTATACAAAAAGAAATTGAATTGAATTGAACATGATTTTATCAAACAAAACATTCTGCTTCAATTCACATTTGTTGGTGTAAAAACATAATTTTCACGGCCTCTGTGAGCCGGTGCATGAGGCGCCATATAGGCCAGAGAGACGTGCAAAGAAAAGTCGGCATCAACCACAAAAGCAACAGATTCCCTTAGTTAGCGGCATCATCAGTAACAACAATACTAAACAGCCAGACCACCAAAAGAAGATTACAGCTGCCGGCACCACCAGCAGGCATGTCCACTGTATCTGTGTTTTGCCCTCCTAACAAGCATCTTGGCGGGCTTAAGTAGCACTCCTGTGTCTCGGGGCTTGTGAGTATGCATCGTGTGCTCGCTTTTTGGTGATTTTCTTCTTCTTCTTTTTCTTTTGCCTGATAGTGTTTTCTGTCGTCAGAGCTGACAGGGGTTTTGCTGCAGTGGTTAGTTTGTGTGCATGTCCTTCACGTCTGTATGAACAGCAAGGGAGTCGGTATAATGAAATTTACCTCAAAAGGCCAAACAAGCACAGCTGCACAGTACGAGCATGCAGACATTTATTATTGAGCAGCAGGCCTTCATTATTCATACCAGTGGGTTTCTGTGCGCTCAGCAGATAAACTTCTTTGAGTCTGTTTGTTCATCACACACTCTGCTCATTGATGTTGTCACACAGACGTCCATGAATATTTAGCGGTGGACGTTTACAGTTGGATAAAGCGTGTTTGCTAAATGAACGTCCGAAGCAATCGAAGGTCTTTGTAACAAAGTACAATGTGGGCTGTGTCCAACTACTCACTCAGTATGAGCCTCATCGTTGATGCTCTGAGTGTAAAGTAACGTGGACACACGGCCTCTGATGAGTCACATGGATTTCTCTTCATACAGAGGAACGCTTAGAAAAAAAGACAACAACAGCGTGTATTTATGGCTGTGTAATTCCACGCATAAAGAGTATTACAAAGTCAATATAAATAGTGCTACATATGGGCACAGTTTTGCTAATTGTGCTAGTTTTTCCAGTCGATAACAGCCGGGGATTGTGGTTTTCCATTTTGAGCAGTCGGTATTGCAGTCGATATTTGTTTTCTTGTTTTCTGAAGCGTCTTCTGAAACTTGTTTACAGCTGACTGGCAACATTAAAGCCAAGCCAGCCAATGGATCCGTGCCATCTGAGTACCTGAGTGCCATCTGAGTGCCAGCGCGCCAGGATTTTTCACTTTGATCAGTGCTGGCTGTGTCAAGAGGAGAGCGGCACGGCGTAGTGCTAAATGACTGCCTTGCTTCACACCCTGCATGGATTTGGACCTCTTACTAACATGTACACAAAACAAAATGGCCGTGAACAAAACTTCAGCGCCAAAACTCCAGCGCACAGCCGGTGGGAACACTACCGCAGAACAGCTTTTGTTTACGCGCAAGTTAGACAGCGTGTCAAAAACAATATGAGGAGGAATACATTGCAGTCAAAAAAAGTTACTGAGGCGAGGAAGTAAGTTTATGTCCCTGCATCCCTTGCCACAAGCTCCCTGTTTAGTTTCCGACTACCTGCAAACCTAGTTAGCGTACCGGTCTGAGCACAACCTGACAGCACTAGTGCTGCAGGTGTATTTTCAGAGGTCTGCGCACATGTGTGTGTGTGTTTTTATAGCACCTAACTGGTGAGGGCCTGCGAGGTGTCATCTCACAGCTGAAGGGGTGCCGGCTGGCACAGAATTTTAATTGGCAGGAAGACACACTGGCACATGCCTTGATATGTTCTGCCAACGTGATCGGCTGTGAAGGGTAGGGAGGCGGGGACTCAAATAAAGGGGCTTGTGTGTGTGTGTGTGTGTGTGGGTGTGTGTGAAAGCGGTCGACTATTTGCATAGATCTTTGAGAAGAACCTCATTTGCTTTCAGAGAAGTTCAACATGTTCAGTGTATCTGTGCATGTTATTTCGTCCTGCACATGTGCAGCAGGGACCCTTTCCTGTGCAGAGGTGCCGGCTCTCCTCTCAAATCCAGCAGCCTTTTCCCACCAACAGTGGGAAAGTGTTAGGACATGGGGTAAGCTCAAAATCAACTAGTTTGTACGACAGGTCTGCTGAATAAGACTGAAGGCAAACAGGAAGACATCAGCATTTCATTATCTTAAAAAGTTTCTTGCCATTCAAGCTCTTTTTAAAAGGAAAGAAGAAACGTTTCCAGCCTCGTCTGCTAATGAGAGAGATAATGAAAGAACAAATAGCAGTTACAAATTCATAGCTGCTTCATTAGAATAACAAGAATGATGAGCCAGACGTCTTATTTTTCATGTTGAGCCTCCGCAGTCGCAAAAGGAAAAGTCTTTCAACCAGTTGAAAGAAACAGAAGTCTCACAATGAGTTTGACAACATACATTTTTTTTTTTTCCCATCTCCCTTGTTTTGTTTGGAAAATGAGCTGCATGTCGCCCCGCACCGCATATCTGCATTACTAATTTAAACCAGCTGCTGGGAAGCTTTGCCAGTTTGATCTCTGCTCGCTCTGCCATTGGCTGCTGTGGCTCGGCCAGTTTCCCTCATTAGAGGTCTGTGTTTTTATGTTTGCAGCTGTTCACAGTGTAGGAAGGAACCAAGTCTACAGAATAAAAGGACAAAATGTTCAGGCTAATTTCATTTACAGAATGAAACTAACCTCAAGCTTTGAGGAAGGGTTTTTATGAGAGTGCGTCACTAAATAAGACGCACACATGGTCGTTTGCAGTAACTGAATTGTTGACTCTTACAAGTTACAGTCAATAACTAAAGGACAAACCTCCTGCAATTATTTTTATTATATTTATGACTACATGCATGTTTTCTTCTGTAAGTCTTGAAAAGTTGGGACAAAGGCCTTAGAAGTTATTTAAAAGTATTTTGATTTCAAGTCTTCTTTCTGCAGGCAGTAATATCATCTCCACAATGTTTTAGTATCTGATTGTGAGGCTGTTGGGAAACATTATACACCTAAAACGTAAAGTGTGATTGTTGCGATAGAGACCTAAAGCAAACACCACCATTATTGCTACAGCATTTACAGAAGGATGCGCTTCGTCTTTAAAGGGGCAAGTGTTGATTTTAGCTTAAAATTGAATTTAATTAAATTAATTATCTATCCATCCATCTTCTGCCAATTATCTGGGGTGGGTTAATTTGGTTAATTGTATCTTTAGGAATTATTGTGGGACATAGACTTTGGACGGCATGATCATGAAATGGGTTTTAAATTGCATTCTGTGTGGTATTAAAAAGTCTACAACTTGGTGAACGCTGCAGAATATCTGCACTCAGTATGTGAGCCCTTGATTAAAAGCAGACTCTTGATTTGTGCATTGTGTCAGAAAACAGTTTGAATAACTCCTCAGAGCATGAATTGTACATCACTTAATGATCAGATCGCTTTTTCTTCAGAAGCCCGGCCGTTTGATTTAAATTCCAACCAACTCCTTGTCTGGTTTACTGCTAGTGTCTTTCTCTGCTGCTCCTCTCCTCTTGTGGTATCCAGTTTCACAGAAACAGTGACTGTGATGGCAAACTGTGGCGGAAAAAAAAATTGCACTGCTGCTAGATATTAGTTGTTTTTTGGACGTACAATGTTTGCTATTACATTTTTTTTGTCATGCTTTCTCAGTAGAATTAATAATCACCTGTTTATCCATAATTTCTGTGTGTGCTTGTATCAAACCGTAGCTGGTGTTGTATCTAGGCTCTGTCTCTAGCCCTCCGAGTTAAAAGGCCCCTGACCTGCTCCATATTGAGGGGTCCTCTGCTGCATTGTGTGGCAGTGTGAGTGAGTAAATGCCCCGTTAGGATTCATTACAGCCTCTAGTAGTCGGACATATTGTCCCGAGTGCAATGAGCCGCACCAGTGCAGGCCCCCTGCTCTCCTCTGGCACGTGCCGTCCCTCACCCTGCTTTGTGCTCGCGCACAATGGACGAGCAATCCCACATCTCCCTCGTCTTCCTCCTCCCTCTCATATTGCATCCATTCATCAGTTGCTATCACTGTTTGGACACCCTGATCCCAGGCCCCTTCGTCCCTCCCCCTTCACCCCCTTCCTCTCTCTCTTGTTGTCCACCGTCTTTGCCTTTCCGTGGGATATTATATATAAAGTGACCAATGGCGTCCCACTGCAGCCGTTGCCATGGTGATAAGTGACAGCGGGAAAGCACCACCCCAAGATGTATGGATCGTAAAAAAAGTATAGGAGGACAGTGGTAATGGGTGTACAGAGAGAAATGAGGCAGGCTAGCCCGAAGACTGGATGGGAAAATGAAAAAAGGAGAAGGAAGGGAAAGAAGGGCAGGTATGTTAAACATTTCTCTGCGCAGCGATCATCCGCGATCATTTAATACTTATATGGGCTGCAGTGATGGCCCGTCCTCCATCTTACTGGCAAGGCACTGTCAATGAAGGAGGAAAAGGTAAGGGGAAGAGGAAGGCAACGCATAGGGAAAGCATACTTCTCTCACAAGGGTCTTTCAGCTGCCGCGTTTATTAAATTAGGATATAATTGAAAATGGAAGACTGTAATTTTCTCAGTGTTAGATCTGTCAATTCAGTCCTCCACGTCCATTCTTTCTATTGTGCTGAATAGTCAGACATCTGTCTCAGAGAGAGTAATCACCAGGCCGTCATAAACACTTTCAGCACTTTTGTGGAAAATCAGCTGATAATCATGGTCGACCATTAGCTACAAGTAAGAGTACTCCGTTGGTTAGTCTGGTGTCATTATGAAATAGTCAAGATAAAAAGGTTTCCACTCACCCAGCTGTATATTTAACTCTACTGTGGTCTTTGAAAGTGGACGTGGAGAGTTTTTGGAAGTGGCGTGTGGGCAAAGCAGGGCGGTTTCTAAGACCCCGGACCTGCTATCCAGAAAGGGACTCTGTCAGTCTGGTCATTCCCCCTCAGACTCAGTTTGTCATTTGTTGTGTGCAAAAGAGTTTGAAGTTTGAATCAAATAGCCACTTTATATGCAACTCTGTCTGCAACTCTCTTTATCGGGGATGATCGGAGAGGCCTCTTGTTTTACAGATATTTGTCAAACCGGTCCACCAGATAACGTACGGAACTTTAGTCAAAGGGCATCGGTTTGCTTGATGTAGATTGTTAGGTGTTACCATCATGGCAGCAGTGGACTGCTCTCACACTCAAGTAATGAATGCCTCTGCAACACCTCTGCAGTCTGGGAAAAGTCCTGACACATCAAAAAACATAATGTCTTCATAAGCCACTGTCTCGTCACACGACATCTGCGCATTAGAAATCATTTACTCTGCTGGCTCGCCTTCTGAATCACTTTCACTTTAAAGTTAAATGTCGTACCGGAGCTCCTATTGAATGGCTTCAATGAGGCACAGCTCATGGCTAATGTTTTCCGTCATTATTGTGGAACAGTTGAATGTGTTGAAACTCCATTTGTCTTCTGTGAAAAGAAAAATAAGCCTTGACATTAACTAGTCATGATGAACAAGCTGTATTTGTCTGGTGGTACACTCTTTGTAGAAAAACGTTGTCTTGTCATTCCACCTTGTTAAGTGCTGTGTAAAAAGCCTTTCACACAGAACGTAGCAAAAATCATTTTATTTTTCTCTCACTGTCAGAACCAAGATGCTGTGTAAGCGATTTCTCATGGGAACCCATCATTATTCTCACGGAAGCAGCACTGTCATGTGTTATCATGTCATAGTATGCTATTGGAAACCTCGGTGGACAAATGCAGCATGTACTGTATATGTATGTGTGTGTGTGTGTGTGTGTGTGTGTGTTGTGTGTGTGCACATATAGTAGTGAATGTTTGCGTGTGTGAGAAAATGTTCCCTCCTGTGGACAGCAGTCCTAACTTATGTCCAATCAGCCAGGCGGCAAATGTATGCTGCAGTCATTAATCACAAACACACACACACACACACACACACACACAGATGCCACGAGTGCACTGTGGCGAGGCCATCTTTGAAAAGTGACGCGAGCTAACAGCGTTAATAACGTGTCAACAAATATCAAGGAAATGTAATTGAGCCTGTGATACTGTAAAGAAAAAAAATACAAGGTGATGTTTTCAAGATATGCAAAGAAACAGTCTCGTAACCAAAGAAAACGCAAACTAGAACTAAATAGCAGAATTGTTACAGTAGTCTTCCTCTCTCCTTTTGTCTTCGTTTATTTACCAAACAGGAATGAAGCTACATAAATACATTTGGTTTTATGATTCTATGGATGACTTTGCAAACACAGATGCTCTTCACTAACCGCTTAATGTTTGAGCGGGGCGTTTTTGGTCATTCTTAAATCTTTATTTGAAAGCAAAGGAAACTATTAATCTCTACTCTGCTACTTGAAAATCCACCCTGAGGAGCTCAGGCCGGCCGAATCAATACCGTCACTTAACAACTACTTCTATGTGCTTTTATTTTGTGCGGCTTAGAGAGAAGGAGTGAATGCTGATTCCCTTTGCTGTCATCATCTGCTCCTGTAATGTCTCTGTTTAACTCTGTCATTTATTCAGTACTTGTTTTTTTAAATGTCATATAAGAATAGAGGTATTAATCCTGCAAATTAGCCAGTTTGGGGGTTCAAACAGTGTGAACTTGCGCAGCAGATACATTTGTCATCATGTGTGTGTGTGTGTGTGTGTGTGTGTGTGTGTGTGTGTGTGTGTGTGTGTGTGTG